TGCTCTGCCCCGTCCATCGCTATCGCTGTCTCGTTCGCTCTCTCTTCGGGTCGCTCTCCTTGCTAACAAGAACGAAAGACTTAGGCAGCGAACTTGAACTGACTTTAGCATGCGGCGTTGGTTTAATGAGCTGAAAGTTGAGGCTGCGACTGGGGATGGAGCATGGATCATGGAGCATGGAGTCGGAGTCGGAGTGTGCGTGACACTTGACTCTAGGGCAGGTCCGACACACGGGAAACACAAAAACCTTTTCAAAAGAAAACTTTTTGTAGCGTTTTTCCCATTTTTTCATTTTTTCATTTTTTGCCACGACATGGCATTGTTGTATATGTTTCGAAGTCATTGCCTGCCTAGCGGCGGTTGTTGTTGCTGTTGCTGCTGCTCGCTGCATTCAAAATTATAAACAAATTTTTGCTGGCCGCTGTTGTTGTTTGTGTTGCTGCTGCCGCGGAGCGTATAACAACAAACAATCGCATGCAATGTACAAATTTTCCAAGCACAATGAAAAACGCCACCGACAATGCGGAGAGTTTATAATAACAATAATAAAATGAAAATGCTACGGCCGGCAAGTTGCGTAATCCGTCAACCATGGCAGTCAAAAGAGCATGATGGGGGGCGAGGATGGGAATCTGGAGGGGGTTTGGGCCAAGAAGCAGCAGAAGCGGTGGAAGAAATATGCTGATGTTTCTGTGGCCATCAGCAGGAGGGGGAAGGGGCCGTATCTTCTGAAGCTTTCGGGGGTGGGCCAGTCCATCTGGTTGCCTCCGGCACACGCAATAGTAGCTGTTGTCGCTGCAGCAACACAGATCGCTCCCAATCGCGCATTTGCAATCGTTTCAGCCACTGAGAAATATATTAAATGCGTTTTTGTTGGCTTTTACTTTTCGCTTTTTACTGTTCGGAGATAAAGATCAGGCCTGAACATGGGCTTACCAAAATAAACCAACAGCAACAGCAACAGCAACAGCAACGGCAACAAAATCAAAAGTGCCACGCGGCCAGCGCTTTTATGAATGACTGACTGACTGACCGACCGTCGCCGAGTGAGTTATACTGGCCGAAAGCACTTGTTGCGCCAACAAACTTGTACAGCAGCTTCGGCCAACAACAACGAACACGCTACTTGCCGTCGCCGGCTGTTGACGAACAACTTCAGCGACAAGATCATAAATCAAAATTTTATTTCGCGCAGCAGCTCAGATTTTTACCTGTCCCTGTCCCTCTCTCTCTCTCCCTCCCTCTGCCTCTCTCTCTATCGCCTATTTAAATTTTTATGGTTTCTGTGCTTTTTTTACGATTTTCCTCTTGTGCATAAATTAAAAATTGCAGCGCGCGCGGGTTGCACGCGTTTTGTTGGCGATTGCAGCGCGATTAAAACCGTTTGGTCAGCTGGCGCGTGCTGCCGCGGCTCAAACGAAAGTTGTTGGCCATAAAAGTGGCCGGCAGGCTGGAGCCGAAAATCGAAGGAAAGTGACTCGGCTAATCTTGAGCGGCGACTGCGACCCAGTGCGATCAGAGGGACCTACAGGGCGTATGCGTAATGGACCGTATACCGTTTAGGCCATCAAATTAGGAGCAAATCACGAGTTCCGCCACATTTGGCGCCTGCAAACGCCGATCGGAAATCGATAATCGGCGAAGCGGGTAATCGCCTGCGGCCATTAATCAACGGCTAAGACAATGCCCCCAGTCCAGGCCGTAATTCAAAGGCACCGCTGAAAGAAGCCGCCGAAAAGTGTTTTTCATGTTAACCGCTTTGGCCAGCAAATTGAAATTTCTCGCACCAAAAATGTGCAGCAAAAATGCTAAAATCTTGTTGCATGGAATTTATGAATGAAAACCAAAGCGGCAGCAACATCAGCGAACATAACAAGCAACAAGCTGAGAACAATGAGGGGAAAACTCCGTTTGGTAGCCATAAATTTGTGGCAACAAAACTGAGACCATTTCATGCCCCGCCATGTGTTGCTGTTGTTCCTGCTGCTGCTGTCAATTGTTGTTGTTTTTGTTGTTGCCTTTGCTGCTGGTGGAGGGGAAAAGCCATAAACATTTTTGTTGCTTTTCAGTCCAGACATCGTTTACGGGTCGAGGTGGAAATGCATTCGCCATAGCCAGCCGTTGAAGGAAGACGCTCAGATACTCTACTAGATTGGAGGTGGACATGGGAGTAGATGGGCTATCCTTAACCCCATGCTTGCTAATACTACTATTAGCAGCATCACAAACCAGCTGTTCGATCCATTCAGTATAACCAATAGCTCTAAGTAGTCTCAGTTACGATACGTCATGGGGTGTTAAGACGCATAAGCAGTCCGCATTGCCTTCCTCCCACTGAAGAGCAACGGACTCCATCTCTATCCCATGGCCCGTTTTCGGGGCGGTATCGGTGTCATTATGCCGAGGCATCCGTGTCCGAGCCGTCTTCTCTATTTACTTAGCACATCTCCCAGTCCGCTCGGCTAATAAAGCCGTAAGTTTTCGGGTGTAGGGTCAGGGGGAGGGCTGCTCCTATGGTTTATGACTTGGCAAGGGGCGGTCAGCTCGTTGCGCCGTGATTTATCAGGGAAAATACGAACGAAAAACTGGGATGACGTGAAGTGTTTCCGCGGAAAGCGGAAAACCTTACGGCCACGGCTCCCACACAAATCAATCGATAGAGCGGTTGGCGTTACTGCGGATTGGCTTATCTTTTCCCACGTTTTAAATGCTCAACTGTCAAATGAATTAGAGTCTGTCTGGGGCCCGGGACACATTTGGCAATGCCCCACGGAACCAGTTACCAGTTGCTGGGGCACGCAGGTGACGGCGACTCCATCTCCCTCTCGCTCAGCTGGCTTTTATCGCTCGAACGGCAAGTGCTCGCAATTAGAAAGCCAACTCCAAGTGGCGTCCACTCCGCACTTCTCCATGGTGACTCCAGCTCCATCTCCATCTCTATCACCAGCTCCGTCAGCATTGCCAGCCACTTGGCTGTTAAGATCTAGCTGCGGCTGCAGGAGAAGCGCGTTGCCGTCGTCATAAAACCCATCTGTAATCTGCCCCTGCGACAGACTTGGAACCCAGATCCAGACTCGGAGTCAGACTCAGGCTCAGACTCTTGGCTGGCCATCAATTCTGCGTTTGACTGCATAAATTATATGGCAAGTGACATATTGCGGAAGTGATCAAGCAAGTGTTGCTGCCGCAGACTGCTGCAGGCTGGCCATCTGACCAGCGGACCAGCCGAAGTGGGTTAAAAGGATAATGCCGGGCAGACAGCTTCGATCTGTTGTGGTTGCCGTGGAGTTGACACAGTGACATGCTAATTTCTTGCCGTTTTTGCCATATTTGTCCATGCGAAAGCGGAGAGCGAGGGGCCACAACGGCATAAGGCTGATTGACATTTGACAGTCTGTCCGTCCGCTGGATCCGCACTACACTTTTACTCTCATGCAAACTTTTGTCGCCGTCCCCGTGGAGGGGAACTTGTTGAGTTGATACTTTGTTCGGGCATTTGTTTTCTGTTTATAAAAATGAATACGTTCGCTGGGTGGAGTAAAGCTGACAATTGAGAGGCTGCTGACCATTAGTTTTGACACCTGCTTAGCTCTGTGATTTGCCAAATGACACAGAAAGAGTGTTTGATTAAATGTTTCCAAAAGAGTGACTATTTATTTGGGACCTCGCCAGTATTTTATCATTGAGCGCAGATTTCTCGCATGGCCTGCCTTGCGTAACACATAAATACGTGTATATATATATGTGTTTTCCTAGGACAGTTCCTTCCCCAACCCCATCTCTCACTTAGCAGAGCCAAGCAGCAGCAGAAACTGGGTTTTCGGTACCCGAAAAGTAGCGCCAAGCGAGGCGATCTGCGGCCTGACATAACGAGTCGCGCTTGATTGAGCACTAAAATGAAATGGAAATGAAAATCTGCTCGTGGATTTCGGCTACCGCAGTTCGGGGCTGCCAATGTCAATGATCCGACAATGGATTGGGGCTGGGACTGGGATTGGGGTGCGATTAGCCCAGGCCAGACGGACAGTCAATGCTGGTAGCTATCGGCTAATTGAAATCGATTGGTGGAATGCACATAAAAGCCGAGTCTCCTCCAACTGTTTTTATGGCCAAAAAACGAAAAGTTCGAAAACCAAAAAGCCAAAGTCAGTGAAATTCGCAAAACACAAAAAGCGAGCTCGAGCGGCGCTACAAAAATCCAGCCAACCGCGAAGAACGACCTTGAGCGGGTCTGGCCGGGCAAGTTTATATAGCTAGTACGGTATCTATAATGCCGAATACATGTGCATAAAACACACAATGTTGGCTCAACGTGGACGCCATCGCAGAGTCAACGTGCAAGATTGCAGGCCCAGATACCCGTACTAGCAGATACTCGTACTCATAAGCAGCATTAGATACGCGCTGTTACTGCCTGGGTCTGTAGTCACACTGGCTCTGAGTCAGACTCAGACTCAGACTCGGACTCGGACTCGGAGTCAGCGGAGCTTCAGCTGCGAGGCTTTCAAAAGTGAAGTGCTCCGCCAGCTCACAGCTCGCAACTCACAGCTCACAGCTCAGCGCACAATTAGTTCTACCAGCAGCTGGAGCTTGGAGTGCCGGTACCCTCCAAAATGAAAACTGAAAGTATCCGCGAGATACTTTCGGCTGCCGTCGCTTCAAGTGCCCCAAAGATACGGGTTTCGCAACTGATGAAACACATCTCGGCTAGCCGCGCGATTAAGACATGCATATGTGTCGCACGCTGCCAAAATCCATAGTTTATAGAGCCATTTTCCTGCCAGCCGCTTTTCACGAGCGCTCACTCTTAATTTCAACTGAAAAGCTGTTTGAAAAGCTGTGCTAGCCAGCGTTAGTATCTGTATCTGTAGCTGTAAATGAATCTGTTAGCGGGGTTCTGCCCCGATTAAGGATTCTGTCAGACCGCATTAGCTTAGTCTAGACTCCGATTCACTCTAAGGCCAATTCTCACGCTAATCGAATCCAACCTTTGCTTGCAGGTGAAAATCTGGTTCCAGAACAGGCGATCCAAATACAAAAAGATGATGAAGGCGGCCCAGGGCCCGGGCACCAACAGCGGCATGCCCCTGGGAGGCGGGGGACCCAATCCCGGTCAGCATAGTCCCAATCAGATGCACAGTGGTGAGTTCGAGAATGGAGGCTACCTGCACATGGCATCTGAGGCTAATGGATCTCTCGATATTGTCCATTCCACAGGCGGTAATAACGGCGGTGGCTCGAACAGCGGCTCACCCTCACATTATCTACCTCCCGGACACAGTCCAACGCCATCGAGTACACCCGTGTCCGAGCTTTCACCTGGTGAGTTTGCCTGCCAGGAGGCCCAGGGCCAAGAAACCACTTCATCAGCTGCCTTTGTGCCCACAGAATTCCCACCAACGGGCCTCAGTCCGCCAACGCAAGCGCCGTGGGACCAGAAACCGCACTGGATCGACCACAAGCCGCCGCCCCAAATGACGCCACAACCACCTCATCCAGCGGCAGCGCTACATCCGCAGACGCACCACCACAACCCGCCGCCCCAGATGGGTGGCTATGTGCCCCAGTATTGGTATCAGCCCGAGACGAATCCATCACTAGTGACGTGAGTACCCAGCCCGTGCGCCCTGCTTATCCCTAATCTAGTCCGACCTTCTTGAGTCCGTCTTAAACCCCTTCCCCCTTCTCCACCCACAGTGTTTGGCCGGCGGTCTAACAGCATCCGAACCAGCTGCCCTCGGCTGCCTGGACGCAGCACCAGCAGCACCAGTCCCTTCACCAGCACTCCTGCCCCGAGCTGGGGCACCAGCTGCAGATGGAGCACCAGGCGGAGGCCCAGCACCTCCTCCAGCGGCAGGACCTCGCCGGCGGGGCCTTCGGGGGCGGGGGCGGTTGCGGGGCCGTGCAGCACACAATATCTTAGCCAATAAACCATGATAGCAACCTGTAAAATATCCATGAAATGTTGAGAAAGAAAGCAAGAACACTGGCAAGTTAAGCGTAAAGTTTTGTACATTTTAAACGTAATCTAAATATATTTACCAACGTGAATAAAGTCGTTCTAAAATGTAGTCTAGCTAAGAACAAAAACAAAAACAAAAAAAGAAATCAAAAAAAGAAAAAATACTTAAAGCAAAAACATTCCTCAATCACAGAGCAAGGAGAGAGCATGAAACGTGTCCTTTAATTTCGTTTAATTTAGCAAATTAACTATGTATAAATCTATCTATATGAACGTAACTATATGTAGTGAGCCACAACAGAGTATAAAGCGTGACAGTACATCGTAAATAAATGAAATCGAACAAAATCAAAATCAGCTGTTGATCTTAAGAGTTTCTTTCGAGTGTTTTGTTCTCGGCAAGAGAAGTCGAAAAGTCGCAAGTCGAAAAGCAAAGAGAACGAGCAACAGAAATCAGTAAAATCAGATCTCAAATGCAAAAGGAAGGTCCTCGTGACTCCCTGAACATTTTCCAATTTCTTGAATTTCCCTTGCACCCAGAAGAGGGCCCGTTCCGTTCTTTCACTGTGCAATATAATATTATTTACCAAGGAAATGAACTAAAAAAGCCGCTTGAAGTGTACATTTTGTATAGACCGCATTTTAACTTAGAGTCCTCTGGCGGAAGGGGAAGCCCCGTTTTAACAATCGAAAACTAAGGCGAATTCGACTCGCTGCTGAGCTTGCTGTAGCTGTAATTACGGATTAACATAATCTAGTTTAAGCGGTAATTAGTGCGTGTGTTTCACCCTAGTTTAATGTAACCACAGCTTAGTTTAGCGACTAAAGTGCGAGTGAGAGTGTGTCTGGGAGAGTGCCTGCGAGTGCGCCTGCAATGTAAACAGTAAACTAAACTAAACAATAATTAAAACACACGATCGAATTCAAAGGAAATTTACAAAATTTACAAAATTTACAAAACCGCATAGAGAGAAGTCGTAAGAAAGAAACATTATGTGCTAGCATTTAATTAATTAGTTTTAATCTAGAAAATGGCAACACAAAATCACAGAACAAGCCTAGCGACTCCCCTCCCCTCCCTTTCCAACCTCATTTAATTTTTAGTAATTAATGTAATTTTTAAATCAAATCAAACAACAGAAAAAACGCGAGAAACCCAATAAAAAATAAAGAAAATTTAAATACAAAACCGCACTTTGTGGGAGTTGAGGGCCACTTCCAGGGACATTGGCTGCCTTTCAGGACGACGACGACGGCGAGGGGCTGGTGGCAGGATGCCGGCGGCGCATTAATGCATTACACTTGAAAAAGTTAAGTGGCAACTGTGTCTCTGTGTGCGCCGGTGAGTGTATCTGTGAATCTGTGCATCGCGTGGAGGGCGGAAGGAAGCTGGAAAATCTGTTCCATTAATCATGAAAGAACGCAACAGGATATGCTTGAGTCGGGCGTGCTTTTACAGGCTCAATGAATGGTTCCATTATGTCCTCGAAGCGACATCGTTTTCGGACTTCGGGGGATGTAGGGGAGAGCCGAGTGCCATAAGCCTCCAAAGTGAGGAAAACACAGATTTGCTCGCCTCGTTTCGACTGTTCAAGTGTTTCGTTCGCTGCCAATTAATTAGCCGGAAAAATGAGACTTTAGCCCAACTCTGTATTTCAGAATATCCCAGGCCATGTCAATCACCGCTGGATTTCAGATTCAAGACTGAAGATTCACTCAGCTCTCTCGGCATCGGACAGGCCTCAGGAACCTCTGGGTTCTGCGGTCGCCTGCCTGGGCCTCATTAAATCAACACCTTTGCGACCCGTCCTCAAAGACAATGGCCAGCCAGAGGAATGCCAGCTCGCGGAGAATTTTGCATTTGTGAGCGCTTTTTGCGATTTCAATTTAAAATTTCAGTCGGAATTCGCGAGGTCCGCGTGCTCAATGGGTTCTAATTGAGGGGGCAGGGAAGAGGGTGGAGAGGGTCGGCAGAAGCGAAGTGCAGCTAGGACTGTACTTAGCGTGTTTACATAAATTAGCAGCCGGACCGGACTCCAGAGTCGGACTCGGACTCGGAATCGGATCCAGAGCCACAAAGTCAGAGGAATTTCCTTGTAAAAATGACGCATACCAAACTTAGACACAACGGGGACATCCAACGTTGTTGCTGTCATTCGCTGGGCTGCGTTCCGAAACTCAACAAGGTTTTGTGTCAACGCTGCTGGCTGCAGCTCCTGGCCAGCTCCAAAATGGATGCACTTGTAGAAAAACTATCCCTGAAACTGAGAAGTTATTCTGCTATTTGGAAAACCATTCCCATAGTTTCTCACTCTTCCTGTTCATGATGTCATTACAAGGATTTTTCTCGTAAGAGCTAGTAAGTATGAAAACAACATTAACTTTGGATATTTTATAGGAATTTTGATTACTTTTCGAATCCTTTTTCGTTGAGTGTAGCATTGCGTCCAGGCCAAATACTCGTACAATAAATAACGCAAGCAGCAGCAGCTAAATAAAAAACAGCAGAGCTGCAGTGCAGCAGCAGTTGAAGTTATTTGTGAAATTCATCCGTCAAAGTCGCGGCCCTGGCCCTGGGATCCTCATCCCCAGTCGCTCTTCCCTCCAGCACCGCTCCCAGCTCTTAGCTTCATCTTTAGCTGCAGCGCAAGTCCAAGTCCAAGCCCAAGTCCAAGCCAAGCCGAAGCCCAAACCCGAACCGAAGTCAAAACCCAAACCCCAGACATTGGGTCTTTGGCGTAAAACTTGAAAAGCGTTCCTTTCATGGCTTTGGCCCATTGTCTTGAACTCGGCTACTGGTCATGCATAGCTCCTCCTGCTCCTGCTCCTGCTCCTGCTCCTGGTCTTGCCCTTTCCCCCTCCCCTTCCCATCCTGAGCGGCTGCTGCATTCCTGCGCACCGTCCGCTTGGAATGATGAACGATGTGTCGCTGATGACCTGATCAAAGTGGAGCATCTGCACGCATATCGATTGCAGAGCAGTGACCAGTCAGTTCGGCCAGTTCATCGGGGACGTCGCAGGATGCTCGCTGGGCTGTTGCAATGTTTAGGGACATGACATTTTTTGTCGTACCGTTTGCTAAAATAACTTTGTTAAGATTTTTGCAACTCGCTTTGGGCCCGGCCTCCGGCTTCTCACAGAGCCAAACGGGCCAAACAATCCAAACAAATGGGCCGAAAAAAGGAGAGGCAAGGTCCGGCGAAAAAGGGACAAATTTGATGTGGCAGGCAACAGGCAACAGTCGGGCAGGCAGGCAGGCCCTTCTGGAATTGCATTTTCAATGAGCCACATAAATCTTGGCCAGGCCGAACGACCAGCTCGAGTAGTAGTCGCTGTCTCTGACCGATTTTATGACAAATGTATTTTATGAACTGTCAAAATAGGTGTTGAAAATGAATTAATTTGCTCTCTCGCACTCTCGACTCGCCGACATTTGGCGGCGAACATCAGACCGAGTGCGTAAGGTCGTTTGACATATGTAACTGAGTTGGCTTGTGTAACGAGACCCGGCGGTATAATGGCCAAAGAGGCAGGGGGAGGGCGGTAAATCGGCGTTTCAGCTGCGCTTGCGCCGAGCCCCGAAAACCGTTTACGAAATCCGAAACTGGCAATTACGCGCAGCCCGCTATTCCTCCGCCGTGGCTAGATATGTGTGTCTGCCGATAAATCCGCTAATTTAATCAGCCGGGGCGGGGCACGTGAGGCACGTGACAAACGTCGTTTGATCTAGCCACTCAGCGGAAGGGAAACGAACGCGCAGCTGCCCGGATGATTCGGGGGGCGATGGCGGGAGGCAACACCTTCTAATGCAGCTTTAACAATGCACAAATATCGAAATTATCCGTGTATTTAGGCAAACTTAAAAATCATAAAATTTCAAGTTCATTTTTGGTCTCCTCTAGGCCAATGAATAGCTTCAAGGCTTAAAGGAGAACTGCAGATATAGCCAATCGAATGTTAACGTAATTTAGCGTCAAAAAAGTTAGTTCTTTGCCCAAAACTAAGCCATAAAAAGTCAGAACATGGAATGTCATATCTCGTTGAGATCGGAACTAAATTTTTCAAAAATCTGTGTCCCCACCTAAAAATATCAAATTTTATGAATTTTTTGCAAAAATTGATGATGTAACCCTTTTCCGAAAATGGGACATTGGGTCTGCCCTGATCTCTCCCTAAAAGTCAGTATATTGATCATAACTCAGCGAATACTGGTCGGAATGTTGAATGGAATATCTCGATGAGATCGTAATTAAATTTCTAATATTTCTGTGTCCCCACCTTAAAATGTCAAATTTTATGCAATTTTCACCAAAATTGATGATGTAACCCCTTATCAAAAACGCAAAAATTGGCCAAAAAATAAATTTACCCAAATCAACTGGGCAGTGATAAAAATGTTGAGTTTAGGTCGTTAGCTGTCCAAAACAGTTTTTCTTTTAGCTGTACGATTTGTTTTGACTATTTTATAGGCTAAAAACCTAGAAAAAATATTGCAAATAATTCTTAAAAATCGATTCTCTGATTTATCGTCAAAGAAATCAGAATTTTGGCCATAACATTGTCAAAAATGGTCGGAATAAGGAAAGTCATATCTCGATGAGCTGGAAATTAAATTTCCAGTTTAACTCTGTTCACACCTTGAAATGTAAATTTTGAGCCATTTTTGGCAAGAAAAGATGATGTAACCCCTCTCCGAAATTGCGAAATTTTGGTTGCTCTGATTCTTGGCCATAGGTCAGTACTTTGACCAAAACAAAGCGAAAAATGCTCCAAATACGGAGTGCCATACCTCGTTGAGCTTGTATTCTAATTCCTAACACGTCTGCATTCAAATCTATAACTATATATTTTTTGTAATTTTTCGCAAAAATGGATGAAGTAACCCCTTATCGAGTTAGTCACAACACAATTTTATTTAAACTAGCTAGGATAAGATGGAGATCATAGAGAGTATAGAGATTCAAGATGACAAATGCGAGATATGACCAGAAAAGGATTTAAATGCTTAGACAGATGATAACAAACTAGTTTGCTCTAATGGAGGTTATCCTAGTCTTCCTGCTGCGTGGCTGCCATGTTGCATCCGCCTATCCCCCAATATCTGGTGTAATAATTCAGAACTTTATTGCGACACATTTTAAATCCGAGCAACTGGCGAAATGTTTATTCCACAAAAGCTAATCTTTTATTTATTAGGTGGCATTAGGGGGCGAAGGGGAGGGTGGCGGGGCTGGCACAGCAGCGCAGCATATGATTACCGCTGATCCGAGTGATCGCATGACGTTTTCATAAATACATAAATAAATGTTAAGGAGCAGCCCCAAGTGCAACCAGTCGACGTCCGCGGCTTTCCC